CAGTTTTACACAAATGTGCGGAACAGAAGAGGGATACTTTTGCGAATTTGGCGGAACTATCATGTGCGGTCAAGATGATGTGACCATGTGAACGTGCTACATCATCAAGACAGCTTATTAAGAATTTGAAAACAGGGTAATCGACGGAGGGGAAAACATTTGTATATCCTGCCAAAGGAGGTCCGATCATGAATGGTCCTCTTATTGATTCCAGATTGTTAAATGTTTCCCACGCAAGTCTTTTTTTCTCGGAAATTCGAGTTTTATGCTGGCTTCTTAACGTAGGCAGGTCATTAAATTATTTATAAATGTATTTGAAATGAAGAATTTATTCACTTATAAACAACTGTGAAAGTACTGTGAAGAAATCTAATTATTAAATGTATCTAATTTATAATGATTATAAATGTTATCTAAATATATAATAACCTTAATATTGAATTGTAAACATAAATTGAAATCCTGTTGACAAATACGTTATAAAACTATTTAAGCAAGAATTGTTCGTATTGGAAAGCAATCTGTTAAAAGGTTATTGTAAAGCAAATGCTATGAGATGCGCACTGAAGTACGTAATAAAGAGTTTTGGAATATGTATTTTTGAAATGAAGGGTAAAAAAAATCTGATAAGTATAATTAAAAGAATTATTCCCCTTACATTTTATAATAACTCAGTTACAAGTTTTAAATAATACTTTAAAAAAAATTTAAAAAAAAAAACTTATTTTATTCCCTTTCAGAAATGTTTAGAGAAAGTCAAGTACTATTTAAACTATTTCGCTAATTCCTAATAATTCTCTAATTTAAAATGAACCGAATAGAGCATTAATTATAAATTGACTTATATTTTTCGATTTAAAAGATGCCTCAGAAGCCAAAAAATCATGTCATATTTAAGAAGGTATTTTAGGAAGAAGCTCTAAAAATAGAAAAGAAGTAATGCATAATTTTAATATTAATAATACAATAAACTTTGATCTTAATATTTGTACCTTAACCGAATAAAATCGAATTACCTTAATTTTTACCCCTAATGTAATTAACGAAAACTTGTGAAAATATTTCATTCAAAGTAAACCATTCTGAGAAAAGTATAGCATTTAATTCCGTTCAGAATGAAATGTTGTTTAAAAATATGTTGTTTTCATATACTTAAGACTCTGAAGTGTTGTAGAAAAAGAAAATATATACATTTATATGTATATTTACGACGTAATTACAAAATATTTACATCCGAACGCGTCAAATCCCATTGAACTCAATGGTAAATGACCCAATGTTTTGGTCACCACGTAGGGATCGCCGGTGCTTCAGAGCAGGGTACGGGAGAAACTTGTTTAGGGCAACTCCATCTTACTTCCTACCTCCATAGTTTGGCCCAAGGCCCAAGGCGTTTTGCTTACGGAGTACCTTTGCAAATAAATGCAATAACCTCCACAACTTCGTTAAGAGAAATATTGAATAATTTAGATAAAGCATAGCTAAAGAGAGGAGTGAGGACCGTTATGGGTTTAAGAACCAGTAATGAATGAGGAGTCCACTCAAGGGACGAGAAATTCCTTCAACTTTCAATTTCGCTAAGGAAGGGTCAGAGACCTGAGCGATAAGAAAGTTTGAAGAGAAAGCTGTTGAAGATAGGGGATTGAACCCACGACCTCGATGTGTACGGAGACAACCTAGTCTGCTCTTTAACACTAGGCTATGATCGCTCCCATAGTTTGGTGCATGGAGGTAGGAGACTCTCGGATCCCCCTCTGTGGTGCTGTCCTTCAAAACTGGAGTGGAAGAAAACGTCCAACTTTCTTGAGGCTCTGGCAACAGTTCTTCCATGAAATACATAGACATGACAACAACTGGAAGGGTAGAACTTACTGTTTACTTGCTAAGAAGAGCTTTCGAAAACGGGAATACTTCAAGAAACAAATATGTTTATTTATTTAAGTATGGCAAACTGAACGAAGACTAATGAGAGCACTACCATCAACTCGCAATTATTTTGCACATGGAGCTGTAAGGATTATGCTAATTTTATTAACAGTTAAATTTTAAGTTAAAGTTCCTTTCCTGTCAAATTCTTAACTTCAACTTACTACTTCCGGCCAGAACGTACTTTTGGAATCTTGCTGAATATTTAATGAGAAGGAGCGGTATTTAAACCACGAAGTTACTTTCAAAATCGTAAAAAACAACCTTATATTTAGCGTAGGTATAATGAAACACTCAATCGATTTCGAGGGCAGCTAAAGGTCCCTCCTCATCAGGAGAAAGAAATACATAGAAAGAAGAAAATAGGAATCACAGAAACACGTGGTGCTTATCAGCACTGCACGTGGATATAACTAGATTTTTAATCAGAGTTGCACTGGCCGCCTACTTTTACTGAGCCAGGCTGTCTGATCAAGCATAAAGAATCAAGCATAAAGATCAAGCATAATTTCTGTGATTCCTATTTTCTTCTTTCTATGTATTTCTTTCTCCTGATGAGGAGGGACCTTTAGCTGCCCTCGAAATCGATTGAGTGTTTCATTATACCTACGCTAAATATAAGGTTGTTTTTTACGATTTTGATTGTCACATTAGCGTGTTTCTCTTCTAGCCACGAAGTTACTTACTGAGGCAGAGAGAATCAGAGTTTCTGATTTACGCGCGTCTGCCTTTTTGGCCACTCTCTCTCTCTCAAAGCTGTTATTACGCTCGGCCGTACTCAGGCCCTTGCTAAGCTTCGTAGTAAAATAAGTTAAGGGGCCAACTCAAACTAAACCTTGATAGCTTCGGCTATACTTGTTTAGTTAATTCCTAGTCTTTTAAGCTCAAGTCCAAGTGCGGGCTTTGCTTGTACACTCCCAGGCGGAGTTTTGTTAAATCTTATTGGAATAATAAAGGGTTAGTTACCCTTCTATCTTGTTGTTTCTTGTTACCGAACGCAAGTGATTATTCGCTTATCAGTTCTTAGATTCCTCACTTCCAACATTAACTTAGAATTCCAAAGTGAGGTACTCTACAGAGCAAATCACGAAAACTCTAAGCAGCCAACCCATTCTGCGGTATTCGAATCCATGTCAAATCACCAGTGTTCAGCTGCCTTTATCTACTCGGGTGCTGGTGAGCAGGATAGAGGATATTTATTATGTTAAGAGAAGATGGGCGACTTGTTGATCTATGTTAAACAGCAAGAAATGAACAATTATGAAGAGGTAAATTAATTGTACCCAAAGAATTCGAGCCAACAACGTTAATGTATTAAGATATGAATGCCTCACGGTTTCACCATTAAGATTATGTTTACATGGTGTCGGTGTTATGAATTACATAGTATAAAATAAGAAAAATGAAAGCTTTCGAGATAAATGAATTAGTTTGTGATAACAAAGTACTTCCTTTTTTTTAGTGTAAAACTGAAACTGCAGCTAATATAAAAATACATGAGAAAAAAATAGAATCTTTTGAATTAGTTACACAAAACGGTTTATAATAATATGCTTCAAAAAGAAATCCTGTTCACAGTCAGACTTTAATATACAAAATGTTTCTTAGTTCAAAGTGTACTTAGGTGTTTGTAGCGCTAAATAATGTCCTTTTTTTTCTTTATTATTTTTCAATCAACAAATTAATATTTCTATAAAAAATAAGTTATTTATTTATTTATTTTTCAAGGCTCTGATGTATATTTACATACTAGTTTTAAAGTTCTTCGATTCATATTTTGCGTTTTTACATTTGATAAATTGCATTCAACAATAATTTTCTGCATTAATGTTATTATGACAAGGTTTTTAAATTAAAATTATTTCTTTAAATTTATTTCTTTAAAAATTTTTTCTTAAATAAAATTATTTCTAAAAGTAAAATTATTTCTTTAAAAGCATCCAATTTTCAGTTTCTAACTGCTGAAAAATTATATCATTTTATTTAGATGAGTTAAAAGAAGTAATTTAAATCTAATGACAAGTTACTCAACACTTAATTGTTCAAATGATATTGAATGCCGCAGAAAGTTTTTAGAAACACTCAGTTTTAAAGAACGATCATCTGTAGAAGTTCCGACTCTAAAGTAGCTAAAAGCGTAGATCTTTTAAATATTCTGACTAATAAATTCATTTCAATCGCAGCCGGATTTGAAAGTTGCATTAAAAATACTTTCAACATTGGCTACTTACCTTTCCTAGTCATGGAAGGATTTTCAGCAAGTCTAATGTAATAAAAAATTAATTTTGACCTATACTTACTCAAGAAAACATATCAAACATGCATAGTATTTCTAAAACAAGAACAAAGTAACCAATTAAATTCTGAAAATAATTGTTATAGAATTTTGCTTAAGCACAAAACAGAACAAAGAAAAAAAATCTAATTATAAATTGAGTCTTTGAAAATAAAGTGGAGTACACTTTTACATTCATACATTCATGGCATTTGCACCAATATATTTCACCGAAATTACAGATATTTGTCATTTTAAATAAATTATCAAAATTATATTTTTAACATTTTTCATTTTAAAACTATGAATTTTTTACATTTTAATTAAAAACTATTAATAACTATATATTATTTTTATGAATTATGGCAAACTATAAACTCTTACTTAATCAATATATTATATATATATATGATTAAGAGTTACATTATGATTTAAACAGATACATATGTTGAACATAAATTTTGCACAGAGGTTCACATTTATCCCCTTATATCAGTGGAAAAATATCTAAGCACGGCTCTGACTTCCAGATTTGACTTGTACTGGAATTGAAAATGTAACTTTATTACATGATACCATGAGTGTATGTCTGAATTTAAAATATATATTATAATTATTAGACAACATTTATTAAGAATATAGACCTCTAAACAAATACTTACATCGGTTTCTTCCTGAAAATGTTTACATTTTTCACCAGTTCCACATTTTGAATTTTTCACCGAAATAAACATATGAACTGCTGTTATTTGTAGATAATACATGTAATATTTCTGTTATTTATAAACTACACAGGAAATCTTATATATAATATTTATTGAAATGACATAATTTAAAAGAAGAACGATTCCAGAATATTGTGAATACAAATCATAAAAATAGCTATTTTTCCGAGGAAAGTCCATTTTCTCTTCCTCTGAAAACTAGGACTTAAAAAAAAAAAAAAAAAAAAAAAAAAAAAAAAAAAAAAAACCTCCAAATTTCCGAGGAAAATAGAATTTTTTTTTTGGGGGGGGGTCACGGAGATGTTACAACAACGTTATTTCTATCACTGTGTAATAAAAAATAGAAAAGATAGAGTGTATTTCAAATTATATACAAAGAAAGCAAATTCTAAGATTACTGAGAAATTTATTCAATTGTGTTGATTATATCAGTCTATGCAATACTTTTATGACATATTTAAACTTCAAAAGCTGATTTGAATATAATAATTCATTTCAGTGAATTGCTATATAAAAGAAATTCTATGTGTTACTGTAGGAAAAAAATTGGAGAAATTTCACAAAATTTTCATGTCAGAAGAGAAAATGTTTAGCATTACATATGCATATTAAGTAACAATATATTTAAGTTACTGCATAGTTGTTAACAAAATCCTTCATTTATTTCTAGGCGTATTTTATGCTGTACATTACGCATAATTAAGAGCTTGCATTGCAAAAGAATGCAAACAATGTGTCTCAGTATTCAATTTCATTTCAAATTTGATATGTTGATTGTGAATAATTAGCATGATAGATGAAACTAAATAGATAAAAATGTAGTTACAAATGATATTTGGAAATGGGATATGGAGTTAGGAGTAGAACATTCTTCTTGGAGACTATTTCACGTATCTTGACCCTATTATTTGAAAGATAATAAGCAGTTTCGTATGGCAAAAAACATACTTCACTTGAAAGACATAAATGTCTACCTAATATAAATTTAGAAGCAAGAAAATGAAATGAATGTCATTTTAAAAACACTGTTTCGTAACAGGGGACTTGAATTTATTTATACAAACTTTTTATTTGCATTAAATGTAAATTGGTAAATATCGCTTATATAACATTTATCGATATATTATAAATAAATTTATACGGCAGTTTCACGCATACAAATACGTATTGAATTCACAAAAATTGTCGTACAAATCTATAAAACATTTGTTATACTTTACAATGTCTTCGAAGTGTTTCCGAATAAGGGAAGTAGTACGACTTAGATTTATTTCGAAGCAAGAGCTGCGTTCATTTATTCTATGAATAATTGGAAAATGTCCTCTTTATTTTCTGATAATTGTTTTTCTATTTAGTTTTGTATAATCATAAATAGACATAACCTGAAAGAATTGTCATGTCTATATCGTTTTGATAGGAATGAAAAAAGGTAATTCCATTCGAATTCAAACTGCATTATGAGCAATGCAATGAAACGTAAATGAGTATAAACTTATGATGAATCACATTCGGGTAATGAAAAGGTATGCTAGTATATCAATTAAATAAAAGATCTTTATAATACAAAAGTAAATAACAAAGAGTGACTCTACAGTTTGTTGTAGTCCTCACCACAGTCCCTCTGTCGGCACGTGTGAAATTGGATTTAACTAATTCAAAATATTTGCCATCTGCGAGAGTCATGCACCGAAGCCGGAGGCATTTAACTCTTACTAAATCAATGGCTTTGCTTGATCTGTCACTAAAACGCAAAGTGTCTGCATCCCATCGAATTTCTAGGCGCTCTAAGCCTGGGCAATTATTCGCAATAGATTCCATAAGAGAGTCTACGTGGATTTTCTGAGATATCTTCGGGCAGCAATCTTCAGGCATCCCCATAATGAGTATTCTGAAAATAAAAGCATTTAAAGAAATCTTGTGAAGATGAACATCGTTTTGAATTTTCAATATAGGCATATAAAACTAAATATTGAAACAGATATATTTAAGTTAAATTTCTTCCAAAATTATTCAGACATTCTTTCCAAGTGATATTACTTAAAACTGTAGTTCAGATCGTAGAAAACATTTGTTTTCCTTTCCAAACTCTTATTCGTTTAAAGTAAATTTCAAGAATTAAGGTCATTAAGGATTGTAAGATTAAAGAGTTTGCAGCACGTTCAGAAGCTGGGTCTTTACAGATTACGATAGTTAATAGTGAGGCAAATTAGCAGGATTTTTACATATATGGGAGCTACAAATTCACTTTTAAGAATTATTGCTGAGAAGCTGAAGTATTTAAACAGAATGAGCTAAAATAAAAGAAGACGCAGCGCGCTTATGATACTAGCAGACACTCTCTCCTTTGTGTTTTGTGACGTTTATCGCTTACTTTAGCATTCAGGTGCCTTTTTTCTACTGATTGTTGTGTGCAGTTAAACCTAGACGTTATTAAGATCTATTAATAAAGCTGTTGACCGTTCCAGTACGTGAGGCAAAACGTAACATTCAGTACGCTTACGTTCGCTCATAATTGATCTAATTAAATATCCTTATAGAATAAAAGGTTCAATAAATCAATAAATTGTGCGTAGGTTTTGGTTGTTACCAAATTTATACGTAAACACTAACTGACCGCGGCAAACAGAAAAATTTCTGGCTTGTAATTATCTTAAGTTTGTGTAACTGTGTAGATTATTATCTATAATTAAATGGTTTAGTTTTTATTTATTTAATTGTATATTCGTCCAGTGAATTTTAGCTTTCTACAGGCTTGATATTTTGCCCATAACTGCTGAAGGCCAGCCAGTTAGTAATACAATTAAAGAAGCAAATTTAAGAGCTAGGTCTTTCAGCAGCTCTTTCAAGAATAACAACTCGTATCATAAATTGTGGAGGTTTAAACAGACGATAGATAGAGTTATTACTATAAAGCAGTATAACAAGAAAAATATTTGACTATTAATACTAGTGGAATAAATTTAGAGAAGTACATAATTATTGATTTAGAATAACCCCGAAAGAAATTCTTTCAAATTATGCACAGTTATGTCACAATAGTTTAAAGGTACACAGAAAGCCCCTGACCTAGGGGGTAAATTAATGAACACTAGTAACTTGCTCAGGGTTTTTTAAGTCCTTCTCTTTCTCTCTCTCTCTCTTTTTGAATGGAATAATCTGAGGCAAATACATTCACTGCGCCTCAAATGAGCTTGTTTTGCTAATACAAATCTGGCTGCATGTGATATTTGTAACTTTACAACGTGAGTATAAGCCTCTACTTAAGCAATATTGTTTAAGGCAGCAAGTAGTCCTCTCGGTGTCTGCAGTGGTAAGTAATTGATTTATCTCACAAAGTTGTTTGGGATAATAACTAACATCATAAGAAAAAATTGCGTTCTGAAAATAGCAGACTTGAGAACATAAGCCTCTAGTAGTAGACTTATGAACAAAAGCTTCTAGTAGCAGATTTATGAATATAAGCTTTTTGGTGGCCCATGCATGTAAAGCATGCATATTTATTTTGGAATTCTCAGAAAGAAAAGTATGGACATACAATGTAACTCGGATCATAAATAAAGGGAAAGTATTCATAAAATGTTAACATTAAAAAAATGTGATGTGGAAAAGTGTAGTAGAACTTTCATAACGTAATAATCTCGTTAGAGAAACCAGTAGTCTAGTCCGAGTAATGACAAAATCTTGGAGATGCAGATCAGTACAAGAGATTGCATCGTTTTTAAAAAAATAATTAAAGTCTAACTCATTAGTGCCTCATTTGAATTCACCAGAATGGGCATAGAAAAAGTGCGCGCTAGCACCATGCAATAAAAGTAGTGCTCAAAGCGGAAGATTTTACAACTCAGAGTGGTACAAATAACTTATCGGAATGACTATTCAAAACATTTGCTGAAATAGGCAATATTATTTTTTAGGAAATGAAGAAGCTTTCTTTCATGAAAATCAACGCCTGCTTAACACAGATTTTTAAACTTTTGTATTCTTGAAATCGCTTTCTTAATTTGCAGAGCTGAACACTGCATTAAAAGAGCAATCAGGAGTTAACAACTACACCTTTAGAATGTAGAATAATTTCGGTGTAACTGTACATACAGCACTGGTGTACTGTTACACCGAAATTATTCCATCGAAATTATTATCCCACAAGACAAACGAAAAATGTCTTTCTGGACATGAAATACAAGAACTAAAGTTTAATGCCGTTGATAACTCAAAACTTGATAAACTCAAAACAACTGAATTTTTGGCAGATAAATCAAAATTCAGTTTGATAGATCTATATGACGAGATCTCGCTGATAACACCTTTTATACCCTAAGCTATAAAACTTCACTACATGTAATGGTATCCGAATTTATACTGGACTGCTCAGCTGGATGTTTTTGAAAAGTACAAAGTCCAGAGTGTATCAGATAGTCTTAGAAAGAGTTTTATTTCCAACGATTTAAGTGCTATTTAGAGTGATGGAAATTACTACATAATCCAAGACTCTTTTCCAACATAATAGTGACCCTTGTTGAAGAGACCAAAATATAGCAGCAATATTACAGGAATTTTTTCTTGTATATTACATTTCAGACAGAACATCAGGTAGATTTTCGTTTTCTTATTTTTACTCTGAATCCAGCTTTAAGCTTGACTTTAAAAGCAATCTATGAATGTGTAACCATGGCTTGGAAACAATTTTATTCTAAGATTTTTGACAGAAAATTCCACTAATATTGGCTCTTACATATTATCTGACCAGAAATCTTTTCAGATCTTAGAAAGAATATATATTATGTTTAGAACAAAGAAACTATACATTATGTTAATTAACCCAGTTATTTCCTTATGTTTACTGTTCCTTCACTTTTATTTTCGTCATCTCCTACCAGAATGAAAATTAGTTAAAATATAAATAATGCTTACTTGCTGACTGAATTTGATCAATCAGCTTGAGATTCGGCAAACCACTTTTGCTTCCTGAATACTAGGGGGCCAGGCCAAATTTTAATATAGCTTGTTGTCTTTTTATTTCTGATATAAGCTGACTTTGATTATGTATTAAGAATTTCCCGTAAGCAGCGAGATTTGTTTTTGTTAAATTTTTAAACTTGTGTAATCATCATCAGGTTGACGTGTTAATAAATAACACTCATTTTAAAACTTTAATGTGAGTTTTGATGTACCTAGAATGAAAATTAGTTAAAATAGATGAGGGACGATAAGTCATTTGACGGTCTTTTAGCAGTTTGCTCTTTGAAATATTGAAGAACGTATAAAATGATTATAGAATATAATAAAAATTTTATTGCTGAAATTCGAGATCCATACTGAGAAGTAATCCATGTTTTATGAATTAAATATTAATTTATGTTATATTACTTTAGTACATCGAAAACTTACATTTATTGCTATTTCGTGGTTTGTATAAAAAGCCTGGTAACCTGACAAACACTTATAGGCAGTTTTAACTTCAACTATATTACGCAGTTTTTCCAGTTTTCTTGGAAATATGTTGTTTCTATCGATATTAAAATATCACGTAAATAGTTTTCTTTTCTTTCTTTCTCTTTGCATAGTTTGCTGAGACCAATCTGTTTTCCAAACAGGAAAACTGAAAAATTAACTGCTTCTTCGTTGAGACTCAAACCATGGATATTCCAACGGCTAGATGAACGTATTAACCACTTACACCGCAACACACAAACGCAGGTATGCTCTGTTTCTTATTAACTGACTATAAGTGGGTCACACATTGAAAGTGAATTTCTCTCCAAGATTCGTTGATACATTCTAGCAAGCAAATTCTCTTACTAATTTAAGCTTATACCTCTAGCCTTTTTTTAAAACGTCAATTGGAGCTTCTTTATTGCTTGACATGTTAAATGACCAAATTCGCAAAAAGGTTCTATACTGTAGTAAACTCATACATAAATGTTCTATATGAGTTTCTGATTACTCTTCGCGCTCTATTCGGCTCTATAAATAAGAAAAGCTCTGAAATATATGTCTTGAGCAAGCCCTGACTTCTTTTAAACGGCAACTTCCTTCTCTATGTTAATACTGCCCTTTGTTTTCCGAATCTATCGAGTTCATACCTTTTACTATTTCAAAGGCTGAGAAACTTAAGTTTAAATTATGATATCCTCTGTATTCTAATCTAAGGGCGCATATTACTTTACATGAGTTGAAGTTAATAAAGAGAAGAACAAAGATATGATGACGTAGTGCGAGTTTTTGGCAGAGATGATTATATTGGAATTTCTCAAGGCTACTGAGGCATTACTGGCAAAAGTATCGTTAATGTGTAGTATAGAGGTGTACAAACTAGCATTAAGTGTTTTATAGAAAATTAACTGATATACTAAACACATAAAAACATTCCTAGAGCTTAGAAGATAATTTGTACTTTCTGATACGCTTTCAAAGTATTCTTTCCCACAGTGCAAAAAATTTCGTTACTTAGGTTAAGTAATCGTATTAACGGAACTTTGTTTAATATGCATAGTATTCTGGCAGTTTGTCTGCTAACTCGGAAAGATTTTATTTTAACTAGCAGTTAAGATATTGTTATGATCACTTGGATTATCTGATTTCTGAGATACGTGCCATACTCCAGAAGAGGAAAATTATTTCAAAATAAGAGAAGCAAAAGAAATTCACGAAGTAAGATTAGGAACTTTGGGGGAGGGTGACGGATAATTACTTATGTTACAGTGAATTAGTGTTTGAGAAGCTGCTACCAGGCCCGTTCCTAGAGGGTATGTAGAGAATGCTCCGCAGGCAGGCGGTAAAATTTAGGGGAGCAAAATTCGGTTGGTATCTTGTAAAGTGGAGGTTACCTGTGCAAGGACAAATGCAATATCCAATGAGTTTCCCCCCCCCCAAAAAAAAGTCGATTTTTGGTCCAAAGGCCAAAATCAATTATTAAATTACATAGGAACGCACAGAAAAGCCTGCACACAGGCGCTCGCCTTTCCCCTCCCTCAGGAACGGGACTGGTTGTTACGGCTTCTTTCTGCTGTTACTGTTTCAATTCAAACAAAGAATTGAGCTACACTGTTAGAAGTTACCTTTTTTAGTAAAGATGTTTGAGAAAGAATTTAATTTGAGAGCTTCAAAAGAAATTTTATTGGAAACTATCCCCTAAAAATTGAAAGAAATACAGAAAAACTCTCTGTAAATGCTAGATACGCGTAAAACTATATATATATAAATCTGTTCTTTCAGACACTATCCTATGTATGTGAGATTTATCCTCAGAGGTTGACCACAAAGAACACAAATATAGCTCTACATGAGTGAAGTATATTTTAAGGGTAAATGCTTAGTTAATTAGAGACAGAACTTGTTAATGTTGAACTTTCTCTATTTTATTTGAAACATTTTGATGATTACATTAAGTCTGACATGCAGTTTAATCTCTATAAAGACGTATAATTTACACTTCTTTCTATTTTTTAGCTTTAATGAGCTGTTGAAAATTTTGTATTTATGCTAAGGTATTTACCTAGAATTCCTTAAAGTTGGCAGCATAGCATTCCAAAAGTGTTCTGTAATGTGAGGTATATTTGACAATCCCAAACCTCGCAGCATCGGTCCTTGCATTTTGATGAGCTTTGTCAGAGCCTCCTCTGATATGTTTTCATTTCTGTCCAAATCAAGTGCAATCAAGTTTTTGATATTACCTTTCTCAATCCATTCTTTCATCACCTATAAAAGTACCATAATTTTATAATCTTAATATTCTGAATGTAGATATAGGATCATACAACATCTTGGAAATGTGATAAATAAGAATTTCTATTACCTTTTTGATCCTAAAAAGAATCACACGAAAACACACAGTGAGGGGCCCTTGTGGAATTTGTACGAATCCCTTTTATTTCATAAATTACATCTAGTTTCTTTTTATAAACCTATAGACACATTAAGTTATTTCGTAGCAGGAAAGATGAAAAATGAGCAATGTTCGAAGGGACTCGAACCTCGGCCCTCTCAAAGAACGCGCTGAGTGTGCTGACCACTACACCCCGAAGGCATGCTAAGAAGGCGGGAGAAATACCTTATATACTCTCCCTTTTAAAGCGCGACTGGGGTTTTAGGGGTTACACTCGCCAAATCCTGGTGGTGGAGAATCAACATCCACCACCTTTTTTAGGTCGAGAACCACTGTAGATACATTAGATATTTTTGATACGGAAGACGTGAAAAATGTGCAGTGCCCTCGCCGGGACTAGAACCACAGACCTCTCGAACACGCGCCGAATGTGCTAACCACTATACCACGTAGGCATGCTAAGAAGGCGGGAGAAATACCTTATATACTCGCCCTTTTAAAGGGCGACTGGGAATTAGAGGACCGAATCGCCAAAATCCTGGTGGTGGAGAATCATCATCCACCACCTTTTTTAGTTTGGGCGCCACTGTAGAGACATTAGTTATTTGGAAGCAGGAGACATAAAAAAATGAGCAATGCCCTCGCCGGGACTCTAACCACGAACCTCTCGAATACGCGCCGAGTGTGCTGACCACTATACCACGAAGGTATGCTAAGAAGGCGGGAGAAATACCCTATAAACTAATAATTAGTAACTTCTTATTACTATAGCTTGATAAGTATTTAAATAAAAAGGTGGAGAGCTAAAAATAATTGACGGAATCTTAATCTTGAATTCAGAATAACAGAAGATGAGAGTGAAATAATGCAACTAGCCTGGACCTCAGAACTAAAAATATCTACGCGCGAGTACATTTGAGACCCTCCGAAAGAACAAATGAAAGTTAATTTTTGCATTTTCTATATCACAAACAATTTCTAAAATTATTGCAATATTGTCTTGATAAGCATATGAGCTTTTAATGATTATAGCTTATGTAAATGAACATAAAAATGCTAACTTATGATCAGTCACGAAACTCATTCATTTAGAACTGAAATAATGGAACATCCTTTCTTATTTCATAGAATAAGAAAGGATGTTCCTTTTAAAAGCGTCTAGATTTGAACTGTAGTCTAATCGTTTCCTGTCTGATGTAGAGTTCATAAGTTTATGATGTTAGCTTGTAAGGATCTTAAGTTTTACTAACGTTTATTTTATTTTAAAACTTTACTGTCCTCTCTTTTTTTTTTCCACTTCCGGCCAGAATAAACCCGTGAATATATTTATACAATTTGTACTTGCTAACGCTTAAGTATTTAAGTTGTGGCTTATCGTCAAGAACAGAGTTAGATGGAGAGAAAGTGAGCCTCTCTGCCACTGTATTCCACGCGAGCTTTCAATCAGTTGCTGTTCGCCTTTAAGGCCAGAGGTTTAGTCCTCTCGATATTTTAAGACGTATTGTAGTTTTCCGCAGTTTGCGTACTACATACGTAATACTCTGAAAAGGCCAGTCTTAGTGTTAGTCATCTAAGTAGCGTATTCAAAGTTTAGCTCTTATTTAAATTTAGCTAGTTAGTAGTTCTTATATGTTTATGTTCAGACCACAAGTAGTTGGTCTTTGTATCCCGAAGTGCGGGAGCGCGTGGAATATCGTAGAGAATAAAGGCTAGTTCATCCCTTCGTAATCTTAGTCATCTATTTTACAATTCCACAGAACCATAGCTTTCAATAAGCTCACTGTTCCCATTCAGGACACTTCATGTTCACCAAGCAGATAAGGAGGAATCGTAGTCCAGATAAGTTTCAAGATTGAAGGGCTTTAGCTCGTGTGTTATGTGAAAAGACATTCTTTTAATGATGTCTGCCCGTAATTCAAACGGTTTCTTTGATAATAAAATGGAATTCAAACTTGCTTTAAAATTACAAATTTTAGAAAGAAATATTAAAACGATTGAAACAAATGAATGAGAAAAATTTCCGCAATGAGTTTAGGTCTACAACAAGTTTCTGTTGAAATTTGTCAAGTTCATTTGGTTTTTCATTTCTACGTTATCTGTACTTCATTTCAAGTTTTGTAAATGAATGTTAAAATTTTCGTGAAGCTAAATGGTTAACTGATCTGTTATTCTGTTGCTGAACGCAGAGCGAAAACCAAGTAGAGCAACTTTCCTGAGATAAAGCATGAAGGGAGCGTAATTTTGAAAATTAACCCTCACTTTTTGAAAATTTGAAATATTATATGGAAATGGTGGAGTTTATGAAATATTACATGTTTCATAAACTCTACCAATTCGTGTTGAATTGGAATGCTGAAAAATTACATGTTTACATCTGTAGTACGTATTAAAGGGGGCTTGATCTGTCTGCTTATAGTAAAGTAAACGAGACCTATCTGCCTAAGGAAAGGGATGCTTTCGTGGATGACTTTCTAAAGTAAACTGGCTCATATCCACGTTACATGTGGAGGGAAACCACGATAATGCCCATGCAGCAGCTCGCTAAGCCTGGAATCGAATCCAGGTCGAACTACCAGTTGTATTACAGGGAAATTAGCTCAAAAACTATGAAATAAAGAGATTAATTAGCTAATCAATCATGGAGATCTCTAAAAGCCTATTTGTTTAATGACTGATGCATTCCTAGAGGAAATACCTAAAATAAACTCACTCTTTTTACGTTATGCATGTAAGAAAGCCTGGGAATTCTGTCCATTCTGCTGTCTACACCAAACTGGTTGATTTAACTAAGGAAAAGTACACAAGATTTCTTTTCCCAAGAGTGGATGTCATCGTGGAAGACCTTGTAAGGAAAAAAGCATAAAAATCCCAATCTAACAATAAATTGTTAGTCCTTTTACTGAGATTCGCTGCTGGAGCGAACTACTCGGAAACGTGTGGAGTAATCTTATTCGCTCAATCAATGATGCGCTGACAAACCCTGAATACTGTTACCAAGACCATGGTTGTAAATACTAGACAACTAGAAAATCATAATATAAAAATAGTAATAGTAAAGAATAATATAAAAATTGAGTACATGAACAGTAATCTGATATTTGAAGAAGTTACTATTCCAGCAATTAAATATAGAACTGTTATTATTTTGAAAAGATTATGAAACTATTAATGTTCTTTGTTTTATAAGAACAGTACTGAATGTAAATTAGAATTTAGACATCTAATCCTAGAATCACTGATATTTTTTCTTATTAATGTTCTTTGTTTTATAAGTACAGTACTGAATGTATATTAGAATTTAGACATCTAATCCTAGAATCACTGATATTTTTTCCTATTAATGTTCTTTGTTTTATAAGAACAGTACTGAATGTAAATTAGAATTTAGACATCTAATCCTAGAATCACTGATCTTGACACCCGCTGGAAACATGAAAATGCTGAGTGAACTGCATGATGGATCATTCACAAGCCACATCATAAGAGTTAGTGTCTTTTAACACACCGGAAGGATATAATGATCTACAGCGCACCGAGCGAAAAAAGAATATAAGGTATTTTGAAAAACAAATGAAAGTATTATGTGAATCTAGTAAATAATGCATTCCAGTGGGCGGAACTCCGAGCGTAGGTGAACATAAGCAGACGCCTAAAATGCTAAGGTTGTTCTTAACAGCCACGAACTCCTTCCCCGTTAACCTCGATGTGATGTAGGTAAAATACTATAATACTGTACTTTTTATAAAGTGTGGCCGATGGGGAAGGCGTGTTTTAAATACTCTCATATGAAATGGTCTGACAAATCCTACTTTCTGAAGATACGAAATTGGTTCAGTATTTGAAAATTTCACTATTTATGTATTATCCCACCTACTTAAATGTTGACTCATAATCTAGAATGATTTAATCTTAGACTGGCAATTTTATGTCATCTATTACATATTCAATTTCATAGTGGCATAGATTTACAACGACTTAAGGCAGCCCTTTGGAAAAGAAAATGCATCTATAATTAATTAGTAATCTAGTAGATTACTACTAGATTGACTAGATTAAATTAATTAGTAAAATCAAATTGATTATCTATAATTAATTATCTAAAAATTTTCGCCTTAAATTAAGTTGCTCGCTCCACGTGATAAGATACAAGTACACGAAATTAAACATGTTCGATTGCGATGGCTGGTTTCCTACAATATGATACCTTATGTAAAACCATGTGATTTTATATGAAAGGTTTCAATGCAAAGCTTGACAACGACGAGACTGTTCAAATCCTTACTTTCTAAAGATAACCTTTGTGATATTCTTGGTGTAGGAGAGGATCGAATTTGAGACGCCATGTGAATTCACTTTCAAATGTGTTATCTATATCCTTTCCATAGTTAGTCTCTTCAGTTTATAGGCATATATCAAAAATGTCTTCCATTTCTTCGTCAATCGTCATGCTTTCAAAACTTCAAGAATTATATTCTTCAGTTTCATACCCTCTTGTGTAATGTCTAATAATATCTCATTCCTGGCTATAAAGTCTTGAAACAACATTCAGACAACATCTTACTTGTTTATACCAAAAAATAGAGGGATAATTTAGAATTCAAAGTCGAATTCAATCTTTGCAATAAGTTTGACAGCAAAATAAAATAAAGTTACTTACAACTTGAAAAATAGAAATATTTACTAAAAGGTGAGTGCAGTTGGCATTTATTGCAAGTAAATATATATATGGTAACTTAAATAAAGCGCGAAGAATTAGATTACAATTATCCTTAAAAGGACGGAAAACGAAGTTCTGCAAGGAGAAACTTGTGAGTAGTTTCGTAACCTGAGACTATCGAAAGAAAAAAAATTAATGTGTGGTCAATACTGAGAG